CACTTTGGAGACAAAGAATAGTAACATATCGTAACCCACTGAAATAAAAGTGTGAATAATAAGGTATCGTAACTAACCGAAATGAACGTGTGAATAATAAGGTATCGTAACTAACCGAAATGAACGTGTGAATAATACGGTATCGTAACTAACCGAAATGAACGTGTGAATAATAAGGTATCGTAACTAACCGAAATGAACGTGTGAAGTAGAGTGAAAGGTTTCTTTTATCTTCCTTGTTTAAAACTTTAAAAGCAATCGTAATTTTATTTTTGCGATTGTTAGGCTTTTTGCTCTGTTACATTCTTGTAGTAGCACGTTCATGCGACCGTATGCATTCTATTTTCAAGCGCCATAAAATTCTTACCAAACTATCAAACAGTCATCATAGTATGAATTAACTCGATGGGAGAAGGCACAAAGGGAGCGGGAAAGGGGGGGGGGTCGTCCCAGACCCAGTGGAATAAGTAAAGGAGAGAACACCAATCAAGAACGAAGTCCCAAACATGTATTCCAAACTAAAATACGTAATGTATGTTCAAACACACATGAAACAGTGTGTCTGAGTGATTGTGAATAAAAGCATCATAGGCTTTCTCTTTGGGTGGGGAGTTGTCTTTGAATTGCACCCACGTTAGATGAGTTCAGTGCACAGGTGATAAAGATACTTCGTCTTTCATGTGGGATAATTATATCTGATACAGCTGCCATCCCCCTAAAAGACCACAATTGTGGCTATTAGGTGAGGTGGTGTCAAATATTCAAGACCCGGATTGAAAAGCGAAGAAACAAGCTGACCTGTTGTTGTCGTTGTTATTGTTGTCGTTATTGTTGTTGGTTTTGCTGCTCCTCTGTTGCTGCTGCTGACACTGTTGTGCTGTTGTTGTGCTGTTGTTATTGTTATTGTTGTTATTGTTGTTATTCTTGTTATTGTTCTTGTTGTTCCTGTTGCTGTCGCCATTGTTGATATTGTTGTTGCCGTTATTGCTGCTGCTGTTTGCTGATCTGCTGTCGCTGTTGATGATGTTTACTAAATTACCATAAATTAATTAACCTCTAAAGTCTTTGTTTCAAATGTATTATGCCTTTTACTTCAATAGCAATACAGAGTCACGCTTGACACATGTACCGCCTGTGAATACACGAACAACATAGATACTTGAGGACACATGAATAACAGGTGCACACGAACATACATACATCATAAATCAACGGAATACCCTCTATAAATATTGTTGTATGACCTCCCCCCTCCCCCCCCATGTAGTGTCCGGCGTACAGCTGGGACAGGCCAGACCCCTCCTGCCCCACATCAACGACCCGTCCGTCCTGGGTGCCCGCATCACGGGGCTCCGGCCAGGTCACAGGTACCGCTTCATCGTCTGGGCCAGGACCAAGAAAGGCCGCGGGGAGTTCGCCTTTATCGACGTCATGACGGCCAAGGGACAGCGTGAGTTGTCGTTGTTATTATGAGTTTGTTGTTGTCTGTGGTGGTGGTGGTGGTGGTATTGTTGTTGTTGTTGTTTTTGTTTTTGTTGTTAATATTGTTGTTGTCGTTGTTGTTATTATCATTATTGTTATTATCATCATCATTATCATCATTATCATTATCATCATTATTATTATTATTATTGTTTTATTATTGTTTTATTATTATCATTATTATTAAAAACATTTGTTGGTGTTGCTGTTGTCGCTGTTGATGGTGTTGTTGTTGTTGTTGTCGTTGTTGTTATTGTCATTGCTGCTGTTGCTGCTGCTGTTGTTTTCGCTGTTCATAATGATGTTTTTTAAGTCATTGTGATCAAACATCGAGGATGTTGTCAAGACTTAATGATGAAATTATTTATTGCCGCTGCGGGTTTTTTTAACACTTTATTTTATTATTTTTTTTTCAAGGTTTTTAAAATGTTATCATTACCGTTAGATCTAAGCAAATAAAGTTCATCTACTGATGTCATGGTTGTTGGAGTCTTTGTGAACAAAAAGCACTACTGGTTGCCCTTGTTACTTTTATCGTTGCAAATAGTTCATTAAGTTAATCATGTTGAAGTTATTGTTACTGTCTATAAGAAAGTTCGACCTACTGTTGTTGGCTGTGCCATTGTTTTGCCATTAAAAGATAAAATGAACAGCGCAAGGGGAACAGACGACATACTGAAAAGAATACGATATACAACACTTTGATGAAATAGCCGAGGTCCCAAAGACGAACAATGTAAAATGTTGTTGATGTTAGAGGCGTATGATTCCATTTTCAAAATTAAAAAATAACGTTACGACTTTCAGATAATACTTGTATATCACACAAAAGAAAGATGATACTTTTTGAAATTGTTATGAACCTTTATGTTGCTACTACAGCTATCGTTAAAACGGTTTGTCCTTTCTGTAGCTATTGGTGATGCGGTTGTAGGCTACTTCTTGGTTTCCCAACCTCTTTTTTTGCTTTTTTTTTGGGGGGGGGGGGGAGGGTTGTTTGTTTGTTTTGTTTTTTGTTTTGTTTAGTTGTTCTTTTGGGATTTTAAAGAAAATTCTTTTACATTTGACAATAAAAATACTTCTGCTAACAGTGATGAAGATAACTAAAAAACATAAAATAAGCCAATGCGATACATAATCTGATTATTTGCACAGAGTTTGAAGTCCTGACATTTATCGCCAGGCCCTGACATATCTAATAATGTTATTACAAACTTACCGTCTAGTGCAGAACTACTCACTGTTCTAGTTATGCGCAAATTTTTAATAAAATCAGAGAGTATAATGTTTACAGACGGTTTTAAATTTTATTCACAGTGGCTCTCCTCCGTGTGTGTGAGTGTGTGTGTGTGTGTGTGTGTGTGTGTATGTGTGTGTGTGTGTGTGTGTGTGTGTGTGTGTGTGTGTGTGTGTGTGTGTGTGTGTTTGTTAGTGTACAATATGTAATATTATTTGAACGTGTTTTTTTTCTTCTTTTTTTCATCCTCTGTTGCCATTGAGCGTCGAGACGACTAATAAATATTACATAAAGTAGGCCTATTGGTCATACAGAGAAAGAGAGAGCGAAGAAAGAGAGAGGGGGGGGAGTATAGATAGATAGATAGATAGATAGATAGATAGATAGATAGATAGATAGATAGATAGAGAGAGAGAGAGAGAGAGAGAGAGAGAGAGAGATAGATAGATAGATAGATAGATAGATAGATAGAGAGAGAGATAGATAGAGAGAGAGAGAGAGAGAGAGAGAGAGAGAGAGAGAGAGAGAGAGTAAATTGGGGATTGTATGCAGTCTTATTTTAAGGACGAAGCATTGCTATCTTTTCCAAAGCGATTTTTTAAAAAATCTTTAAACGTTACCACATAGGTAGTCTAGTAGTTACACTACCGGCCTCGTAATCGTGAGGCGTTATGTCTTTTAGTAACGGCACTTTACAAGTACAGGGTGATCCAAGAAAAACTAAACAACAAAATGTGTAGATCTACTAAAATGTTGTGATTTGAAATAGATATAATTTATCCAAAAAGAATTTGTTTATAGTAAAATTAATTTTTTAAAAAACCCTTTTTCGAAAACGGAAAAGGCTTTTTAAAAAAACACATATTGTATGAAATATCGGCGATCCAAATGAGGCCCACGTAGAGTAAAAAACTCCGGATGGGAGTTGCAGGTCAGAAAATTCAGAATGGAAAGCTCAAGTGTGATATAAATATGAATGCTACTCAGCAAGTTGAGATTGTTTCCAAATGCTATCAGGTCTTCTGGGGTAATCGCATAGAGTCTGCTATTAAGCGCAAATGTGCGCTATACAAATGCTATCTATTAGGCCGACTATTATTATCACAAATGTTAAGACCAGAAACATTATATGAATGAGAACGGTAAATGTGTGCTACTAAGACTGTTCAGTAAACCTGTCTTGAAAATAGTATAAAATTAAATTATGAATGAACTGCCCTATTCGAACTCATTCTTTTAGATTATATACTACTACAAAAATTTCAGACAGCAGACAAAATCCAATCTCTCTAGTGACTTTCGTTTACTCAAATTACAAAACCTCCTTATAGTGGCTATATATCGCTCTAATCTCCTTAAAAGGTTAGGGTCGCTGATAGGAGCATTGTTATGTTTTCAGTTCAACATTTGGTTGCCATGATAACCACACATACAATCTGCCTTTTTCGCTGTTTTAAGAATAGATGAAAACGTCTTTCTATACTGTCGTGTTGCCAATCACAGACGGCGTGGTGAACATACAGTATGAAGCTTTCTCCTACGTTTAACAAAATAACATTTTGGAGTGTTTGCTCAGAAAAAAAATCAGCAACATGATGTAACCTTCAAAAAGTGATTTGAGGTAGCATGATGAATTTATAGTTAAACAACAAAGAGTTCAGAATTCTAAATCAAGTTAAGAACGAAGGTTTCTAGAGTATATCTTCTCTTAGATGGAGACCCGTTAACTGAACAATGATCAAGAAATGGGCATATCATAAACATTGAAACTGAGGAAAAACAAAATAGCTACAGAAAAATATTAAAAAAGAGTATTAGAAACTGTTAAATACTCTCAGTGATCGTTAAAATTCGTATTTCATTTTGTTGTTTCATTTAAACGTATCTAAACTCTCTGTACTTTATCTTATCTAATATCATCTCATAATATTATCTTTTCTTCTTTTCGTTTTTGATATTTTCCCGCTTTTCTTTTTCTGATCTGATGGCAAATATGTTTTTTTTTAATCTTTGTTTTATTCTTATTGATGATTAATTTGTCTCACCAGACATGATCGTAGTTGCCATATATTGTCGCCAGACATGATCTTATTCATTCTTACCTCATCTCAATTGACCTTATCTGTCAATCAGCGCCCCACCCACCCCGGGTTCAGGTGTCAGAGCTGAGGAACTCCAGCGTGAACATCACCTGGATGTCAGACCAGGCCACCCGGGACATGAAGTATCAAGTGGAGTACCGACAGCCAGGTCATTCAAATTCAAAGAGTTTAACACTAAAAAAGTTATGACGATTGCTTGTTCGTTTGTTTTAGGGGTGTGTTTTTTTTCTCTTCTTTTTTAAGGCGCTTTTACGCGTCCATTAACACATTAAGAACATTTAGGAGGCGGACCTCTGACCCTGCATGTCAGGGCCAACCCTGGCTGAGAGGGATGCATCGTCCCAGCAAAAGACTTCTGGACAGCGAAGCGCCTAATCGTTGCACCACAGACGCCCAGGCCTGTCGAGAGGGGGGGGGGGGTCAGGGGGGGCCAATGCCCCGGGGCCCGGGGGTTTGGGGGGCCCGCAAGCAAGGGGAAAAGAAGGAGAAAAAAAGAGAGAGAAAGAGAGAGAGACAGAGAGAGAGAGAGAACAAAAAAAAGAGAGAGAGAGAGAGAGAGAGAGAGAGAGAGAGAGAGAGAGAGAGAGAGAGAGAGCGTATGTTGGTATGTAATAGATATGCTACAGTGAAGTGATTATATGTGCCTATGTACATTAATTTGTTGGGTTATTAAATTGCAGGTGAGGGTGGGTGAGACCGGGGGGGGGGGGGGGGAGGAGGGGCCCGAAGGTGATTGCTGCCCCAGGGCCCGAAGGTGATTGCTGCCCCAGGGCCCGACAAGGCTCTCGACGGCCCTGCAGACGCCTATACACTTGTTCGGTTTATATCGAGGGGGAAAAATTAGACAAATTAGGGCACACACGGTAGAAAGGGTGAAAGTGGAGGTAAATTTGGATCCTCAGTCTTAAAATATACGTTGAAATATCTTTATTCCATGATATATCGACCACCCAAATGAGGCCCACGAAGAGTAAAAACCGCGGATGAGAGCAGTAGGTCAGAAAATTCGAAATGGAGAGCTCAACAGGCGCGGTTCGTCCATAGAGCACGGTCGTGCAGTGCCGCCTAAAATGTTTTAATATTCTATTACGTAAAGCACCCACAAACATAAAAGAAAAGAAGCAAGAAACAAGCACTAGCCAAATACAATCAAAACAAGATCCTCGCTGGCGCAGTAGCTGTCATTTCTGTGTCTATAGCGCCGTGAAACATCTACTATGCCATGCCAAAGTCCACACGGTCTAACTAAACACAATAAGATATTCAACAGTGGTAAACTGACTTGTAAATCGCTCTTTGGGATATCCCAAGCGATGACGACTGTCGTAGCGAGTTTGGCGGTACATTAATATTAATAAGCCGGCACATCTTAAATGTGCTCCTGTCGAATAGTGCCGAAACATAGCCCTCAGTAGGCAGTCTAAAAATAAACGCGATAGACTGTATGCTATTCAATGCCAAAAGTATGTGATCCTCGGAGCAATCCAGCGTAGTGCTCAAGTGAACTATGATTGGTTCATCGCCTTGCCGCTATTTTGAGTGACTCTTTGACCGTGAACCTGAGGGAGGTGAAAGTGACATATTTAAGTCACCGTCCTATGGGTTGTGCCTTTGAACAGTTTTGTAGTGGAATGGTGAAAGTTATTTCTGGAGTGTTCAGTTCTCATGATGAACGAATTTGATGTTTCGCTAACAAACAGATTTTAAGTTTTAGAAATCAAAGCGACAAGTAAAAGGAATGAAAATAAAAGCAGGAGGTCCTCCCTCACCAACCCACAGATCCTAAAATTATACATGTACACCATCTCATTTACTATGCCCTTGACATTCTTCAGCCTGCGATAGCTTAATTGTGCACGCCCACTTTTCAGACCCACGAGCCGCCCCTGGAGCTTAATTTTACTTTTACTGCAGAAAGGACCTCATCAAAATAATGAGTGACGTCGGGAGCCTAATGTGACTCGTAATCGTGAGATTGCGGGTTTGGGGGTTCGATCCTAGGCAGGGAAAGGTACTCTACACGAATGTCCCACTTAGCTTGGTCCTTTCGGAGATGGACGTTAAACTCGGAGGTCCCGCCTCTTAAATAACCTAACAGTGTTGATAAGGGCGTTAAACACATACCATTTCACCATTTCGCCATCTAAATAGAAATAATAAAGTGAATAAATATTCCACTAAGATTGGAACAAAGATTACGAATTTCACATAATATAACAAATTGGTAGAATTGTTTTTTTTTAATATGAACAAATGAATATATTTCTATATATTGATATATATCTCCCTCCCCAGGTCGCGCTGACTGGCACAACACGGAGTACGTGTACGACAAGTCCTGGCTCATGCTGGACAGAGCTGACGTGCCAGTGTCCGACCTGGAGATCCGCCTGGTGGCCAGCAACAGGCTCGGGGACACGGCCACCAGCCGGACCATCGCCGTGGCCAAGATAGTGCAACAAGGTCAGGGGTCAGCAAGGGCCTTAGATTAGCCTCAGTTTTATAACCTCCTTATAGGGTTCAGCCAGGGCCGTCAGGATTGTGTAACACGGGAGCTTGTTTGAAGGCAACGGTGACCGGTTTTTAGAGGGTTGGGTTTTTTTTAGTAGAGGGTTTTACGGCGCGCGCAACTGCATAAAACCCTCTACTAAAAAAAAAATTAGTTGGAGTTTTACGGCATTTGCAGCACAATAAGGTCATATAAGTGCCGAAGATTAGAGGTGTTACAAGAGAGTAACATACACAAAAGAAGTAGGAGAGATAAGGACGATAGATGTTTGATAGGAAAGAAGCAGCAAACCACACCAGAGCACCCGCCAACCACCCAGTTAACGGTTTAATCCCAACAAATAAACAAATAAATAAATAAATAGATAAATACATAGACGAGTAGATACACATATAAATAGATAAGCAGTAAAATAGATATATACATATATAAGTAGATTAAAATGAATGAATGAATGAATGAATGAATGAATGAATGAATGAATGAATGAATGAATGAATGAATTTGGACAAACTAAAATATAAGCTGAATCTTTCCTAACACTGACACACATACTAACAAAACAC